AAATCATAAACCTTCTCGTATACAACTTTTTTAGGTAAGGAGTAATATTCAATAACTTAACTTTCAACTGTTTAACAAAATCATTTATTTGAATAAAAATTCAAAATCAATAATTCTACCATAATACTACCGAAAATGTTTTTTACAAGACACGTTTAATATAATAATTTTGTATTACTTTACGATAAAATATATGTTCAATTTATAATTGGAGCTCAAAGAAAGTGAATGCAAAAAGATGCAGGGTATGTAATTTTAAATTAAATTTCATTCATTTATATTCTATGGATTTTTAAAAAATAAATACTCATTATATATGATTTAATTTTGTAAAATAAAGAGTGCACATAAGAAAAAATAATATCATTCTAATATATCTCATTAAAAATAAAATTTTGAATTCAATTGATATAAGCATAAGTAGTAATTGTTTTTTATGGATTTTTTAAAAATTAAATTCTATATTATTTACGCTTGAACTTTTTAAAGAAAATTTTACATTTAATTTATATATAAGAAGATATGGAGTAAGAATTTGATTCTACCACATCCAACTAAGAAAACTAAAATGTAATTGATAGTTTTTTGAATTTTTTAAAAAGGAAATAGTGGAAATACATACTCCGTATTAAAATATACAAAGCACTATCAAAAAGAAAAAAAGAAGAATTAGAAGAATATTGGGGAAGTACAATATAAAACAAATAGACGGAAGAAAATACACTTGGCTGGGAATTGAAATGGGATTTGAACACGAGATTCAATAGCCCGCAACTTTTCCATTATGGAATGGGTAATGCTATGTTCACAAACTAAACTTACACAAAATTTCCAATCTTTGCCACATCATCATATCATTTAATAAATAAAAAATAAAATAACAAATCCCAACAAAATAATTACAGAGTAATACGGCAGCAACAAGAGTTTAGACGCACCAACAAAGGTTTTTACGGCTCCTCATCTTCTATCTAGCTACGATCAACTGAGTTTCTCATCCACTGTAAATAGAGGTGTTCAAAAATATCCAGTCCGAAAAATCTTTCCATGATCCGGTCATATCCGATCCGAAAAATGGATATCCGATCCGATATTTTGGCTTTTGGATATTTCGGATCGGATATCCGAAAAAAATCGGATCGGATATGGATTCAATTTTTAGAATTTTTCGGATAACCGGATATCCAATTTTTTTTGCTATATGTTTAATGGAATTTTATGGATATATATTATGGGTATATGTTTAATGAATTTTATGTTGATTTTGGAACTCAAACATTTTGGACTTTTTGCATTAGCATTTTAAAACTTTTTGTTTTAATAGTAATTTTTTTTGTTTGTTTAGGCAAAATTACCAAATTTACTCCCAAATTAAATTTGGTATCGATTTTTTATTTGGCCATTATCTTGTGTTGAAATTTTTCTTTTAGTAAATCTATATTGAATTTGATATTGTGGGTTGATTTTGCTATTTTACCTTTTTTTTTTGTAATTTTTGGCTAAAAAGTCAACTTTTCGGATAATCCAGTGATCCGATTCGAAAATTCGGATATCCGAATTTCGGATATCCGAATATTTTCGGATCGGACATGGAATGAGTTTTACATGATCTCAAATTTTCGGATATCCAAATTTTTGGATCGGATCAGATCGATCCGATTGAACAGCCCTAACTGTAAGTGCTTGAATTCTCTTGCTATATACTCTATCCATAATTGAGATCTGAGTATAACTTGTTTCATGTTGTTTAAATTTAAAATACTCCACCTGGAATACCTCTGGCCTATCCAATTTGTTAGAGATAGAAGAAGGAAGCGGTATTGAAGAAGGAAAGTGTTAGAGACAGAAGAATGAAGCGAGATTGAAGAAGGAAACCGAATCCCTTTGGGATTAGGTTTAGGTTTAGTATCTTTCCTAGTTGGATTAGGTTTAGTATTTAGTATTTTTCCTAGTTTGTTTAATTCTTATTTTAGTAGAAATAGAAATTTCAGTGTTTACTTAACCCTCTTCCTATATAAAGAGGGTTAGATTTTTGTATTCAAAAACCAGTTTCACATGCCAACTCAATATACAGAGAATTTCCTCCCAAATAATTTTTTAATGGTATCGAAGCCAGTTTTGAATTCTTGAGACCTCAAACACGCTTCTTCTCCTGCCGGTGGGCATACACAATTCAATGCATACCAACGGGATATTGTAATTTTTTTATTTATTTTTTGTCCTCCCTCATTCTTGAAGAAGTGGTCGGACAAGGGTTGTTCTACGGAGACAAACAACTCTTTCTGCGTCTACTGTTTACGATCGACCTGCATCGCGTCCATCAATCGTTGCCTGTTGTTGCTGCCAAAGTGCCGGAACAGTCTACCGTTGCTGAAGAACGATCGAGTGGGTTGACCGTCCCCATAGAAGTTAATGTGGGTCCGCCTCTGGTAGGCGGTGTTACTATGACACAATCATCACAAATAAAAAAATAATCCCAATCCCACGACACCAATTTATAAGCAAGAGAGATGACCAAATACGTTTTTCCATTTTCAACACATTTTCAAATCATCTAGATCTTGATTACTCTTGCACTTGTAACATGGGCTCACAAAACTTCCAATTCCTGCTATAATTGTGCAATTAAAAAAGTAACTTATACTCCCTCCGTCTCAAAAAGTCTGTCCTGTTTTGAAAAAATTGCGTCCCTTAAAGTCTGTACCATTTCTATTAAAAAACCACTTATACTCCTTACTTTTTCATACTCTACATATCACATCATACCTTTTTCCTAATAATCTATACATCACATCCTACTTCTACCCATCACATCAAGGGTATTTTTGGAAAGTCAACACCAAAATATCCCTCATTATTTTACCACTTTAGTCAAAATGTCCCAATCTTTTTGGGACGAAGGGAGTGTTTTATTAAAGAAATATACTTTGTAAAATAATTGTTTGACTTAGCCGATGTTATAGGATAAAAACAGTATTGAAACTAGGACTATCCTATCCTATATCCTATGATATATATATACGTATACGTAGTATATATATATATATGTAAAGTTGGGTTTAGCTCTTGGAGTGTTGACATGTGGCATGCCATATGTGCATCCACATGTGCATTGAGATGGATGAATTTCATTGGCCCATTTAATTTTTTAAAAAGATTTTTTAACACATTTTATTTTATTACATTAAATAAATATTATATTTTAGTACTAAAAACATTATTTAGTTATACTTTGTATAAAAAATGTCATTTTTAAAAAATTTTATAAAAATATATTTCATCATTGGATAATATACTCCCTATTTAATTTTTTTGACCAGTTTTATCATCTTTACTGTGTCAAAATGATAAACGAGCCTAACAATCATAAATAATACGAACAACCTATTTTTGACGTTGAAATCCAAATTGGGGGAGAACCACATGTCTTTTTTACCAAACGAGAAATTTTATTAATATTAGAGGTTTATACATTGACATTGTACATAATATTGACTTTCTCGACGCGAATGAAGTATTTTAGCTCTATAAAGAAAAAAAATAATACAATAAATATTTTCTAAGTTATTTGAGAGAGTATAATTACATTGTAGTGTGTGAGAAAATATGGAAATTGGCCACCTCCATTGTGAAGGAGATGGTGGTATATTTATAGTTGCATGAGTGGTGATGATAAACATGATAAGGAGTAAATGGTGGATGTATTTGTAGTAAATAGTAATGAATGGATTATGGAGATGTTATCATGATAAGGATTGATTATGAAGATAGTTATGGTAGAGTGAGTTGATAATGGGAAGTGATAATGAAGTAAATAATTAGGGAGTAATATCAATTGGGGAATTCGGAATGGAGTATCCAGACCAGAAAATATTTCCATCATGAAGTTTTCCATTTTTTTGAGTTGTGAGAATCATCAACTCAAGAAAGTAAACAAGTCTTCAAAGTCTTATCTTCAATCTAAAAGAATTTTGTTCTTGACTAGTTTGATCAGATCATTTATCTCTTTTTGGAAGTTCTCCTTGCCCTTTGCTAGTCTTTGAGTTTCTTGGAAAATATCTTCTAGTTTTTCTCTCCTTTTTCCTGCAAAAAATGCAATATATATCTTTCTGACAAATTTAGCCATACTCAGATATAAATCATTTTATATGTAAAGTCATAAAGATACATAAAAAACATTACCCTAAAATTTAAAAACTAGAAAGTATTTGTTTAAAAAGAAACATATCTCATTTCTTACATTGTTGAGTCGGTCTCTTTTCCTCGCGGGAAGTAATTCATCGTCCTGTTTTTCTTCGCATTTGCCGCTTGCTGAAAAGGGAAGAGATTGGAGAGAAGACGTATGTTTCTTTAATTTTGAGATTGGCAATTTCCACGAAAGAAGCTCGCCTATTCGGCTATTCTTGTCGATAAAAAAAGATGTGCCAGTGAGCGCTGTCAGCGCTGTCAGTTGTCTCAGTTGGCAAAGCTGAGCGCTAAGAAAACAAAATCTGTGTTCTATTCCTGACAATTACGCTAGAAGAGAATTATGCTAAGCATATATTATCTGCAAAGTACCAAGTTCCACTTTGTACCACTAATTTTGTGTCACTAATCTCTTACCAAAGACAAATTTTTCTCCTCTCAATGAGAGTTACCTGTTTGGTAAAATAATCTAGTGGTCTCAATTGGCAAAGCTGGGTGTTAAAAGAATATGATTCAAGTTCGATTCCTGGCTATTACGCTAAAAGAAAAAGACATTACGTTAGAAGAGAAAGAAAACAAGATCCGAGTTCGATTCCTCTTAATGAAGTTTTTTAAACTGCAACGGCTAATTTAGCCGTTAGAGGGTGGGAGAAATGTGTCAAACCTTTGATGCACCAAGAATAACAACGCCCGGATGAAGTCATAGGGATCTGTGTTTAAGGCCCAGGCGTTAGAAAGGTGCTTGCGGGTGTGCTTTGCACCCATTTCCTTTGCTCTTATGGTAAACGCCCAAATGCCTAACGTCAAAATGTCAAATGCCTTGCCTCAAACATCACCTTCACCCATCTCTGCTTTATCATCACCTTGCCGCCATCGCCATCTCTCGAACACCACCTCCTTCGGCGACCGCTATATCTTGAATAACCACCAGAAGCTAGATCCCGGAACTAAACCCAGAAGTCATCGTCTGGTACAAAATGAACGTTTTAGGCGAACTCAAAATTCTCAGTCTTCTCATCTTTCTCTTTGCCATTTCCTCACTCATCCCCCCCATCGATTCGACAATGGAACTGCCCACTGTTGCGNGACCCGGTTCCGACCCCATGGCCAGTGCAATTCCACTCGGTCCTCTTCATGAACAACTCGAAAGGGGTCCTGCAAATGGTGGACCTCTGGTATGACTGGCCCAATAGAAGGAATTTCAACATAATCCAGAACCAGCTGGGAAAGCTGCTGTATGACTTGGAATGGGGCAATGGAACTTCCTTCTACTACACTCTTGACAAGAACCAGGAGTGCCGGACCCTTCATTTTCCCGTGGGAATTCTTAGACCAGATTTTCTTGAGGGGGCTAAGTATCTGGGCCAGAAATACATGGATGGGTTCCTGTGTAATGTCTGGGAAAAAGTTGATTTCATCTGGTATTATGAGGATGTTGCTACCAAAAGACCTGTTTATTGGGCTTTCTTCACAGGAAGTGTTGCTCATGTGATGACATTTGAAGTGGGGAAAGTGCTGCAGGACCCTAATTGGCAAGCCCCTGTCTACTGCTTCAACAAGAATTTCACAGTTTCTCATTTTGCTGCCCCGGATTTTGATGGCAATCTCATTAGAGGAGGAGCGATGCGTTCCTCTGACTCGTTCTAGTTGTGTTTATTTTCTCTAATAACTTTATTTTGTGCTGGTGATGCAAAATAGAATGAAATCCAATAACTCAATGAGTACTATGTGTAGTTTTTAATCAGCTTTATGTATGCATATTACCAACCATGGTCTATGGTAGGAATTGCAAGGATCAATATTTTAGTGGGAATGCGTTGTCGCTCTTGTCTCTTTGTAATTTCTTTGCTTGGGGTCTAGTGTTAGGGTCGGTTTGTGTGCTTCTTTATGTGTGATTTATTTGCCTTTAGTTTGCTCTTTAATCTTTGACCTTTGCTACTACCTTGTTACTACCCTTGCAACAATCAGCTTTATGACCTTTGCTGCCCTTTGTAGTTTTTAATCAGCTTTATGACCTTTGCTACTACCTTTGCAACTAGTCTTGATTGCCAATGAAAGGAGTACTACCAGTCATTGTTCATTTGTTTGCTTGCACTTCTGAGATCTTTTGGGGTGAAATCCATGATGCTTTCTGCAGCAGATGAAACTGAATCTATTTGGACAATGTCATTCAGATTCCAAAAGATTAATCCTGAAGCACTACAAAGAAATCTATCAAGTGGTGGTTTTTCACGGAACGTCAATGCTACTGAAGCAAATATTTGAATCTTGAAAGGATCACTTCTGTTGGAGGGATGAACTTTTGCTTGTTTTCATTGTAAATCATTTTTGAGGTGACAAATGAAAATGTGTATAGCTGATGGGTTTTAATCTTTTTATATATAACCTGTGGTAGAAATGTAGAATAGCATTGCAGTGATCATCAATTAGTACAAATGAATTGGGGAATTTGGTCCCTTTTCAGTTGTTTGGAATATTAATATACTCCCTCCATTCCAAAAACAAAAACTATATACTCCCTCCGTAAAAAAAAAAAAACCTTTCCACCCATGGAACAGTGGGCCTCCACGACCCACGAAATGCGGGATGGAAGACGGGGGTGGGCGGGTCAACTGTGTGGTTGTTGAACTTCACCTCCTCGTAGATTTGCGACCTCGAGAGGCTCTTGCCATTGCGATTGCCGGGTGGGGCTGACGCTAGTGGTTGTGGTGGCGGGGGCTGGTGGTGGTCGTGAGGCCTTACAGAGATGGTGGAAGCTGAGTGGAGCGGTGGTGGGAGTTGGGTGCGGTGGTGTTCAAGCGGAAAAGCAGGGAAGGGCAGCAGGGGATTTGATTTAAGTTCAGGATTTGGTGACTTCTGGATGAGTTATGGACACAATTCCACTCAAAAGGTATGTTCTAAAGCTTTTTAAATTTCTTTTTTTATGCTCTGAGAGTCTGAGTATATACAAAGATAAGTTCCACAACGTATTGAACCATACACGATAATGTAAATGGCTGTGTACCGATTACAGTCTATGCTTGGTAAAATGAGGACAACAGAGTAGAAGTTTGATGTTTATAAAGCAAGCAGATTCAGAATAGGTTTTTTAGTAAAGAATCATATACTCTTAAATAAGTATGAGACAAAAAAACCATGCCTATATAATACGTAGTACCTTTTGCTAGTTCCTCTACTGTTTTTTTTCAGTATACCCATCGGATTACAGGTCTCTAGTTCAGGAAGCTAGATCAGATTACATACATCAACTCCCCCCCGGAAGCTTTTTATCTTTCTGAGGCCACAATATGTTGCTTCATCTTTCTCTTTTTATGGCATTCAAGGAGACTCACCTTAAACTAAGAACATCTTATTAATATCAGGGCAGAGGAAAAATGTGTACATGTGAAGGATTTGGACTCAGCTTTGAAATTATATTTTAGTAAATGGATGAGCGATTGGGTCTTCCCAGTTTGTTTGGCTTAGTGTGTAATTATAAAACCAGGTTCTAGGCGTCAGGTTTTAGATCACCTTAGTGGTTTTGACTTAGGTTCCTCACGATCCTCTCAGCTGGTTTATTCAGGGCCTTTGGGTTTTCGGCCTGTTTCTTTTGATTTATGGGTGTTTGGGATTTCAATTTTTGCCTTTCAGTTTGGGGTCCGGTTTTGGCAGCAGACTTTTCCACTACATCCTTTTATTCTTATTGCAAAACATGGAAATAAATCAACCAGAAGAATGAAGAAATTGTACATCTGAATACGGCAACATTCTAATGAGCGTAGTGTTCCAGTTGGTATTTCTCCCTTTTTGGTCTTTGGTTTCCACATTTATGTAATCGACTAATCGTTGTGTCTTTCATTTTTTTTTATTTCATTAGAGAAATTTGATTAAAATTACATTTGTATGTTTAATTCTAAGGCACAAGATGGTGATGGGTTTCTAATGTGGGAAGGACCTGCACCCATTGATAATAGTCAGAAACAATGCAACCTTTTGCTCATTAAAAAAGTATTATACTATTATTGCATTCATTTTTGGGATCAAAGGAAAATGATTAGGTATTTTTATGCTCCATTATTTGGGATGTCATTTAAACAAAAATGACATTGACCCCTATCACCCATCCATTCCATCTTATAGTGCTACAGAAGTATAGTGTGTTTCTTCTCCATATGATATATAGTTTTAGACTTTTAGTTTTGTTTGCATGGTCACTCGATCATCCTATGTTTTGTTGCAAATAGTATGTAGTATTGTATCAATTTTGTCACATAAATGATATCGATGTGGTGGTAGGGTTCGACGTTCATAAGGGTGTGGAATTTAGCCGTTATCCTACCCCAAAAGTCGTTCGCATTTTGGGTCGTCCTTAAACGCCAAAAAATATATTTGTAAGCACCAAAAATTGTAAGTTAAAATTGTAAGAAAAATTATAAAGTAAAAAAATTAATATTTAATTGGGTCTTCTGAGACGTTCGCCCACACCCGGCCTAACTCTTCCTCCTCCGTCATTGTCCACGCTTGCTTTGCCACCCGACTCATGGAGTCTTCGTTGCGCATGGCCTTCTCTTTGGTTTTCAGGTTGGTTGTGTTTCTAGAGCGCTCTCAATATCGTTCACCGGGACAGGTGTTGGTCCGGCCGTTCCTGGAACTTATTGAGAATTTAGTAAAAATTGGCATTGTCACTCGATGAATTCTAAATAATTAGAATCCAAAATATGATTTTATATACTCCGTAATATTTAGAAAAATTAAATAAATAGTTGAGAGTAGATTGAGAGAAAATGTGATTTTTAAAAGGAGTGAGGGGGGTATTTAAATAAGGAGTTGGGAAAAGAAAAAAATAAAAACTATCCGGGGGTGGGTGGATCATCGTGATGGCCATCACTTGCATCACGGTCACGGTGTTCCACGTCCTAGCAAATGTCTATGTGGCGTCACATGGTCATCACGGCTCCCTTCTATGTGGCGTTAGTTGTGGACTTTAGAATCATAAAATATATACTAAGATTAAATTCTTGTATGACTCTTAAGTTCATATCCATTTTTGAACATTAATTGAAAAAAATTAAAAATGAACCCATAAAAAATAGGTAAACGACCCACATTTTACCTATAGATCTTAGGAGCGTAGTAACACAAGTCTGGTAAGATTGAGTAACGAAAATGTTGAAATTAAAGAATATGCTTAGTAAGAGCATCTCCAATTGATATTGAAAGTTTTAATATTGTATTTTACCTTATGAATAGTGTTTTAACATTCCATTTTTCAATAGATCCTCCAACCATGAGTTTGTTGTAAGTAATACACTTTTATCCTATTTTATTTACTTTAAAATATTTATTTTTGATAATATTTAAATTTTTAAAATTTGAATGGATCATATGTTTCAAACTACACTCCGTATATTATTACGAAATTTACCAAGTATAGAATATATTGTACTCCGTATAAGGTCATGTTCTCCTCTACTTATTTTTTTACTTATTACTCCCTCCGTCCTAAAATTAATTTCTCATTTTGACTTTTGCAGTTAAAGTTTTTAAATTTTGACTGTATTTTACGGAAAAAGTATATTGAATTTTCATATAAATTTAGTATCAATAGATTCATTTCGAAACATAGTTTTGAAATATATTATTTTGATAATATATATTCATATAAAATTTGAGATATTAATGGTCAAAATGCTAAATTGGAGACTGTGAAAAGTCAAATGAGAAGTTAATTTTAGGACGGAGGGAGTACTTAATTATTCTAATTGATCAAGTTAGACCTAAGAGGACTTGACAAACATTGATCAAGGGAGACCTTCGCGTGAACAATCTCACAGCTGATATGATACATGATAAGGCGCAATGGTGCCGTTTGATCCATGTAGCCAACCACACCAAGTGGGATAAGGCTTTGTTGTTGTTGTTGTATTTCTTAATCTTATTGGAATCAGTTCAGACCAAAAATAGTTTTAATTATAATTACATTCAGATCAAATCAGAACTTATTCCAATCTGATCAGAACTAATGAGATCAGGTGAAGAGAACATGGCTTAAGTTTACTAGGTGTGAATAACATAATGAGATTTGCCTTTTACAATAGTATTAATTTTACATTACCCATTCAAGGCATAATTTTGCTATAATATCATGTATTTATTGTAATTTGTATCTTTTAGACTTTTACAATGGGGTATTGCACATAAGCCCCCTGTGGTTTGCTTAATATAAATGACACATACACATCCTTTCCTATAAAAATACTTTATAAGCCCCTTGTGGTTTGCTTAAACGACACATACACCCCCTCTCCTATCAAAATGCACGCACAGGGTGAATGATATTTTTAGATAAAGAATTCAAAATTTTCCTATCTACCCTCAGATTCAATTGTTATTGAATCGTCGCTTTATCTCCACGATCTCTTTAATTTTTTTCTATTTTTGTCAAATTTTTCTCTAAAGCCCTATCTACTCTTTCTATCTCTATTTTCAGCTAATTCTGATGGATCGATATTAAGACTGGAATGATTCTAATTGTGAGCGTAGTTTAGGTAATCTCTATTTACTAGATTTAGATTTTTAAGACCCAATATTATAAGATATTATTATTTTAATTACTTGATATTCTTAAATTTAATATAAGTTTATATTTATTGTTCAAATTATAATAGAATTAGTTAATAAAAATCAAATTTAGCACTAATTTTAAAGCACAAGTATTTTGAAAACAAATAAAATAGGTCCCAACATATGATTTTGGCACAAGGCCAATATCATTTCTTTATGTTTCCGGCCCGACCATGTGTGTCCTAGAGATAGAGATAGTAAAAACATACTCCGTCCTAAAATTAATTTCCCAGTTTGACTTTTGCAGTTAAACTTTTTAAACTTTGACTATAGATTAAGAAAAAAATACATTCAATTTTCATATAAATTTATTAGGAATAGATTCATTTTGAAATATAGTTTTGAAATATATAATTTTTATAAAATATATTTATATAAAAATTAAGATATTGATGGTCAAAGTGTCGCATTAGAGACCGTGAAAAGTCAAATGGGAAGTTAATTTTAGGAATAATAAAAATAAGTAGTAAGATAGTGGAGAGTATTTTGGTCTTATCCCTTCAAACAAAGGCAATATACAGAAGTTCCAATATACGCAGAAACGGCATAATCCATTTGTTGTTCTAAAAGCAATGAATTAAATTGTTTACTCTACCGAGTAAATGAGTAATTCCCCTCCAAGTAAAAGTGTAAATTTCCCACAATTTGATATGAACAGCGGAAAAATTGCTACCAGCGCCGCTGCAATTTCGGGATCCCAGACCCGCCGCTCATGTCCGAGGGGCAACGCCGGGAGCAGGGCCGGCGTTCAAGAAGGAGAGGAACCCGGTGGCGGGGGTCTCTTGCTCGTCGAGAAACAGATCTTCCGGTTCCCGGAATGCGGCGTGGATGCAGACGATGGGGACCCCCACCATCAGGGCGGATACAAGAACCGACCCGACGCTGGTGAGGAAAATCACGACGACGGTGGACACAATCAGGCAGCCGAGGGTTTCCCTGTCGGTGAATTGGCGGCCGAAGAGGACGAGGGGCTGATCGGAGGCGCGGAAGAGGTACAGGAAGAGCCACGCCGCCAGCAGGGCGGCTAGGAAGATGAGGGAGATCGGGTTGGTGATGAGAGAGACGCCGAGGACGACGGCGACGAGAGCGAGGTAATTGGTCCTGAAATACGCGTAGTTCTTGCGTACCCGGAGCGTCGCATCCGAGAAGGACTCCGGCTTTGAAACGGCGGAGCGATCGACGAGCTCCGCCCACGGGCGGCGGGTGGAGAGCCCCCTACGGACGGTTTCAGCGATGTTGTTCAAGAAGGCGCGGAATGCAGGGGTGGGTCCGACTGCCGTGTCAGAGACGACGGCGGGCTGCGATGTAGAAATCGGGAGAACCGCCGGCGATGAATCGGCCATTGCCTTCGATTGATTGATTCTTTCGGGAATACGATGGAATGGATTTGAGGAAGACAAAAGTAAATTGCACGAAATGGAAAAGAAAATCACATTTATAATCTGGGTAAGAAATGATTTTACCTTTTATACGAGTCCGTATACATTTGGATATAAGGTACTCCAGTAATTATAATGACTTTTTCAGTGTAGTTATTTCCAACGTAGGATAATTGGTCAGTGAGCAATGCTACGTTCACAAACAGGATACTCACAAACTTCACAAACTTATTATTTATGGGTTAAATTTACATTTTAAAATTATTTTAGATTATTTAATTTTATTTATTGAAGTTTACAAATAGTAAATTTGTGAAGTTTGTGACCATTTTGTTTGTGAACCAAGCATTTTCCTTGGTCAGTCATTATTCAACTAAATATTCAGTGGTAGACATTATTCTTCTCACTATTCATTATTAAGTCCTATTTAGAGAATAAAAAAATTTAAGTCCTACATTGAGAAATGACTTATATTTTGGTCCTATTTAGTGCAAATTTCACTTGGATATACTGCTCCTATATACCGAGTTGCTTATGGTACATTCTACATATTCACATTTACAAATAAAAAATGCTAGATTCAGAAATAAAATAATCACAAAATTCACACATTTACTATTTTTGAATTTCAATTAAAAAAATTTAAATAGTCAAAAATAATTTCAAAATAAAAACTTAAAACATAAATTGTAAACTTGTGAAGTTTGTGACCATTCTGTTTGTGAACCTAGCAATGCTCTTTACAAATTCTACTACTCCCATCCGTTCCTAAATATATCTCACATTTACTTTTTCAGTAGTCGTGAAAACTTTTGTTTATTTCTACATTTTTATTGATCATTTGAAAAAATAAAATATTTTTGACACCTGTTATTTCGAAAAACTTTTCATATAGTTTTTGATATGTAAATTTTATTTTTTATTTTTATACAAATATGTATATAAACGAATTGAAAAAAATTGATATTTTACCTCGGTAATAGAAATATGAGATATATTTAGGAACGGAGGGAGTACTATTTTTATACACGAATATTTGTTCAATTGTAATAAAGATTAATAAACTTTGACAACTAATTAAATAAAATTAATATTAAATATTGATATAAAAATAATATTATTAAATTATATAATGAAAGATTTTTAAAATACTTTTTTATCTATTTAATATGTTATATAGTTTTATTTGATTATAAGTCAAAAATTAAAATTAATTGTATCTATAAAAAATCAAAACAAAATAAATTTTCAGGGACGCATGTATTATTTGTTCCACACATTTAAGATTAATGCATAATCTTTATTACGTGTATACACTATCATGGATTGGACATATGTACATTTACAATATCCATTTCACATATTTATGTTTAACATTTAATTAAATCATTCATATTAAAAAATGAACAGGATAGTCACAAACTTCATAAACATACTATTTATGGTTTAAATATTCATTTTAAATTTATTTTAGACTATTTAATTTTATTTATTGAAGTTCACAAATAGTAAGTTTGTAAAGTTTGTGAACATTTTATTTATGAACCAAGCATTTTCCTTAAAAAATACATGTATGTACACATGATATTTACATGTTTTTCATCATGCTATACAAGAACATGTATTTGATATAGGTACATTTACAAAGTCATAATATTCATTTTAGACATTTAATTTTTGGAAAATAATATTTATTCATAAAAAATTGTACTCCACTTTATACCCCGAAAGCATGAACCAATATTTTATACTTGTATGAAGCTCAAACAGTCAAACAAATACTCCCTCCGTCCCTAAATAGATTACAATTTTTTTCTCTCTCCTCTCGATAATTTTTGTTTATTTATGCGATTTCATTAAGTATTTGATAAAATAAAATATTCTTGTCACCTTTTGTTTTGTAGAACTTTTGACGTAGCTTTTTAATATGTAATTTTTATATCTTATTGATATACCAATTTGTAAATAAAATGATTTCAAAAAGTAGAAAATTTTACTCCGTAACCCGCAATTTGTAATCAAATTGGGGACAGAGGGAGTAAAAAATATTAGTGTAAGTTTTTTAATTGAACATTTTGTGCTAGTGTGAATAATTAAAATGCTGGTGCATCTCTTTGAAATATATTTTGAGGTACACTCTTTGGTCTACCCATAGCATGGTTGTTAATATTTTACCAAAACATATATAACCGATAAGGCGACCAACCGATGAAATTGGTCAAAATAAAGGAACGTGTGGTTCAATCAAAGACACCATAGAGAAAGAGAGTGGTCATGTATAAAATGACCGATCATATATTGAGTGAGGCGAGGGGCATTTGGGGTGAGCGATTTTGTCCTTTAGAACAATATATCGAGTGGGATCTTATTCTTAATATCAATCGAGATTATTTGCCTAATCAGGTTTCCACCAAGAAAGTGACAGGTCATAATATTTATGACATGTAACACCTTAACCCACACAACTTGAATAAATGGAATAGCAAACTGAGTTGCTACTAAATTCCTATACACAAGTCAAATAATTTAAAAATGTTTCAATAAAGATCCCACGTTCCTAAACAATTCAGTTATTTATCAGAGTCAATCCAAAACGGTGCGAAAGTTTAATACTCCGTTCATCCCAATTTAAATCGCCTATTTCGGTTTAAGATGTTTGACTGAAGTTATTTTCAAATTATTTTATATGAAAACTGGTGTAGAATTAAAAAATAAAAAGCACATATTTAAAAATTACATCCAAAGAACTACAAAACTAGTAGTGACATGCCTATACTATTTTATTAAATGACTACTGAAAATAGAGAAAGAAAGTGAATAAAGTTTAACTCTAAGAATATTAAATAGACAATTTAAGTTGCGATGGAAGAGGAAAACATACTATGTCATTAAATTAGTTAAACTGATGGTGTAAATTACTTGACCGGTCAAACTATACTAGACCGGGTCTAGAATAGTTGGCTTGATTCAGTAAAGTAAAGAAAGTAAAAACACTCAGAATGACCGGTAGGACTTTAGGTAGAACACCTGTAGCCCGAATTATATTAAAACAGAGAGTGCACAGTCACTTTTACAAGGGAGTTTAGAGAGAGTGATATCGGATCCTCTTCTTCGAGGGTTACAAGAGGTATATATACTAAGTTGGGGGGGACAGGACCACGTGCGCCCACGTGGGGGCACGCTGCCACTGGGGTGTGAGGCGACTGGTTCTTAGCAGCCTTGTTATCTTGCGTGGGGGGCTGCGCCTTTGTCGCGTTCTGGTTTGGAAATATTCCTCCAGCATCTATGCAATTCCAACCACTACAGTCCAAGTCCTTTTGGATTCCTCCTGCCGACACTCCCCAATCTCTAAAAATTGCACCGGTTGGTTCTTGTAAGTTGGCTTGGCCAACTTCGAAGGATGGATTTAGACCATAGGCGAGTTTGACCGGTATACTATCCGAAGTACACCAGTCAAAGTTTTGGGTCAACCCTCTGACGACTCATCACTTCCTTTCGAGCTCGACTTCTTTGACCGGTCAATTTTCTGGTTCGGACCTTTGACCGGTCATGGGTGAAATACACCCATCAATAAGCCCTCCACTTCTCGGTTATGCAATTTTGTCATGAGCGGGAAGTAAAAACTCTGAAACAAGACTTCAATTTTGAATTTCAGCTTTTCCCGCCTAAGGATTTCAAAATTCAAATTCGAACTCTTAATTCCGCCACGTGTTGGACCCCTGTCGCTGCAACGGTCGGCTGTCGTTTCGTCTGCCAGGGTTATCATTGCGCCGCCTGACGCGGCGCGCCCTCGAGTGGCCACGTCGCCCCTTTCCCTTCACTCCTCGCCTGTATAAAGAGTTCCATCCCTCTTTCTTTCTCACTCTTTGCAATTCGTTCCCAGAGCTCCTACCGGTCAATCTTCCTCTTGCCTTCCAGCCCCCCGAGCCAAGTAAGCCTCTTCCTCTTCCTTAGCTTTTTCCTTTCGTTCTTCACTTTTGTTTCCGGTCAATGTCTTCTTCCGATAGTCAGGATATTTCCGCCTCAGATGCCCGCGCATTTGAGGAATCTCTTTCTTCTTCTTTGACCGGGTCGTCTTCTCCCATTCCTCAACCCCGGTCGATTCCAAACCCTAATATCCCTGAGCCACAGCCGGTAAATCAAATGCTCGGTCAGGTTACCCAGGAGAGGGGTGAACCGGTCGAAGATGAGCCGGCCTCCTATGACCCTGACAACGAGTCATATGAGGCATGGGTGGACCGGCTAGATGCAGCCGGTTACTTTCCTCTCCCTTCCAGCTACCCGCTAGACATCTATCCCCGGGTCTCTAAGATTGCTCAAAATAAAGCCCGCAGGAATCTTCCGGATGGGTATGTTCTTGAGTATGACCCCACTTGGCCCAACATTATTGAGCCTCACCGGGATGATAGGGTAGGGTTCCATATCATCTCCCTGGAGAGTGGCACGGTCTTCCCCCTTCGCCCCCTCCTGGTCGAGTTGTGCCACTGTTTCAAGATCCTCCCCGGGCAAATTAAGCCCAATGCCCACCGTTTCCTTAATGCCTTTGTAAATATCTGCATCCATCTCAAAATCGACCCTTCTCTTCGTTTTTTTCTCTACTTGTTTGAAGTTCTTCCCGGTAAGTCGGGTTGCGACGGCTATGTCTATTTCAAAGGCCGTAACGGTCGCCAATTCATTTCCGACCTTCCACAAAGCAACCGGCAGTGGAAGGAAAAATTCGTTTTCATAAAATTTCCCACAATTTCTCCTTTGGCCGGCATACAATGGAATGACCACATCCTGAAGCCGCAATTTACCGAGCCGGCCACCGCCCCAGACTTGGAAGAGAGTTTAGAGAAGCTTCTTCGAGGGGACCCGTTCACTGGGCAAATGTTTCACTACGGGGGCCTGGATCTGGCGGATCCAACCGGGTGACGAGGGTTCCTCCCGGGCCCATGAAGCAGCGGGGCACGGGGGACCCTCCTCGGGCAACACTGCGGAGGCCAGAGGCCCAAGTCACCCAGGTACCCCTCTATCTCTTTTCTTTGCTCTTCCTTTTGAACCGGTCGTGGTTTGAATACTTACAAATTTTTCGCTTGTTTTTGTAGACATGAACTTCAGAGCCTACCACATGCCGAAGAGAACCGGTGGAACTTCTGCTACCGGTCCACATACCTCCAAGACATTTCCGGTCCAGAAGGAAACTATTGAGGTCCACTCTGAAGAGGAAACTCCTGAGACCGGGGGAGCTTCTCCGACCGGGAAGGAACCGGCGAATTCTCCCCCCAACAAAGGAAAGGGGAAGAAGAGAGTGAAGCATACGGCCACAACTCATCCGTCGGCCAAGAAGAAAAGGGGGGAGAACACCCCGGCCGAAGAATCACTGGAGGAGCTCTGGGTCAAATTGACCCTCAAACTGAAAGGGGTAATGTATACTCGGTACTTTCTTTTGCATTTGCCATTCGATTGTTGTACTAACCGGTGCGCTTTTCAATATGCAGATGGGTGAAATTAGGCCCGTCGCCCTGGAGCAACTTACTGAAGATTCCTCCTCCTGGTTAGCCCAGCTGGAGGAAAAATTGAGGAGATTCGAGGCCTACAACCGGGAGCTTAAGGAGTTGACGGCCCAGCAGGTGGACGAGATGGCTAACCTTTCGGCGATCGCCGAAGGGGCCAAGGTGGAGACCCTCCAGCTTAAGGAGGAAAACCTGAAGCTGATGGGGGACTTAGAGTCCAAGGAGCGGGAGTTTCCCGGTAAGGCCAGACATTGGATGGAGGATAACCTGGTGGAGGCTGCCCGGGTGCTCACCTCTTCTGAAGAGAGGACGATGGAGGGCTTCAAGCTTCTGTACCGGGAGGAGCAAGGAAAAGAAATGATCACCCAAATTGGCTCCTACGGTTTTATGTCTGGCCAAAAACGTGACCGGGAGGCTACCCATGCGGTCCTTGCCGAACGGTTTCCGGATTTTGACGCCGAAGCATATGGACTGGCCCCCATCCCGGACGACGAGCCTGCACCTCCCTTCCCCTTGAATTGAAAATCTCCCCGGCTGTGCCCGGTTATTTTTTGTAAACTTGAAACTGGAAATTTCCCCAGGGATGCCCGGCGTACTTGTAAACAATTAATTTTCTTGCTTTGTTTGAATGCAATGCTTAATTTCCGTGCCGGTTAACCTTCCATATCTGCTTGCACCATGATTGTTACCTTTTATTGCTTCTTAGATATTTCAGGCCACTTTCCAATTGTTTTCGACCGGTAGAACTTCCAAGTTTTTCTTGATCACTTTACTTGAAAATTCAGCTCGAATAACTTTGACCGGTTGAACTCCAACTTGGTGGTCAGTTTGAAGAATGATTGACCGGCTAGACTTCTTTTTGGCTTTTGAACACCTTCGTTCTTGTTTTGAAAGTAAAGCAAAGTTTGACCGGTAGGTCCCTTCTCCACGGTCTGCCCGGTGAACTGCTTCGCCTTGTGGAACTTTCGAAGTTCCTCTATATCAATACCCAACCGGGGTATTCTTTTTTTTTTATGACCGGTAGGTTGTAGATGGAACACCTGTAACCTAGTAATTTCTTGAAGTATCCTTAACCGGTAAGAATACTGGAGAATTAACCATGTTCGGATGGTTTCGAACCCTCTCCAAGGTTCAAATGCACCCTTCTTCCAGGGACCCCTCTTCCGGGTGATTAAGTCTTTTAATGGCCCTTTGATTTCTACCATCCCGGGAAGGCCTTAGCTCACCCTCCCGTTCAAGTCTTCCCTGAGAAGGGGGAAATAGGATGCGCCACGGTGGACGATCCCCTTCTATTTCTTTTAATGGGCATCTTTTATTCCCCAATTAATTTGACGGTGCCGGCTGATTCCCCGACACCGGTCAAACCTCATGGGCCCGTGTAAGTACGGTTCGAACCTTCTTCCAGGTCCAGCCCTCTTGCAGACATACCCTCTTCCGGGCCCCTCTTCCGGGTTTTATATTTTTTCTATTATACTGAGCAAGACCGGTGTAGTAACCAGCGTGCCAGGTCCGGGCCTGTGTCTCAGTTGGCTTATCCGAGTGGATCCGATCCACCCGGGAAGCCCTCCTAGGATAGGTTCGACCTATCAATTCTGCTGCTACCATGTAGAGTATTGAATATCATCGGTTTGATTGATAATGAAGTAGGCCTTGCCTAGTATTACAATCATTTGTAGAATTTGCGAAGATGGTGGGAGTTCCAGGTTCTTTCTACCGGGTGTACCTCTAGATTTTCTAACCGGTAGGTTCCCGGGCGGACAATAGCTCTCACCCGGTACGGGCCTTCCCAGTTTTTGGCCAGTTTTCCTCCATCACCCGGTCTACTAGCCTCTCTTCTTCGTAGGACTTCATCTCCAACTTGGAAGTATCGTGGTCCAACCTTGTTGTCGTGGTACTTCTTCACGACTTGTTGATATGTGCTCATTTTAACTTCCGCGGCCATTCTCCGCTCTTCGACCAGGTTGAGTTCGGCGAGATGATCTTCTTCATTTTGTTGGGGTTGATAATTTGATTCCCGGGAAGTTGGGAATTCAGCTTCGATGGGCAGCCTCGCTTCACACCCATAGGTTAGGGAAAATGGAGTTTCCCCATGAGCCCTCCTGGGTGTTACTCGGAATGCCCAGATGATATGTGGGAGCTCTTCCAGCCATTTGTTTCCTGCTTCTCCCAGCCGTTTTTTCAGACCATCCACAATAGTCCTGTTGGCGTTTTCAACTTGGCCATTTCCTTGGGGGTACGCCACCGAAGAGCGGTTATGCTTGATTCCGAAGCCCTCCAAGTATTCGGTGAATCTTGGATTTCGGAATTGTAGACCATTGTCGGTAATTAGGTTCATGGGAGCCCCAAACCTCGTGATGATGTTCTTCCAAATGAACTTCTTGCATTGCTGCGTGGGGATATTGGCCAACGCCTCGGCTTCGATCCATTTGGTGAAGTAATCGATGGCCACGATTACAAATTTCTTCCTTCCTTGGGCGATTGGGAATGCCCCAATGATATCCACCCCGAATCTGGCGAAAGGGATGACGTTTGATACGGGGTGATAGTAGGTCGCCGGCCTACCGGGGTACTTGTAGAACACTTGGCACGTTCTGCACTTCTGGACGTACCTCTCGCAATCCTGGACAATTGTTGTCCAGTAATATCCCAACAAGATGATGCGCTGGGAAAGAGTGCGGGACATCTGATGCGCTGCACATACACCTTCATGGACTTCTGCTATGACTCGTTCAGTCTCCCGGTTGGTTAGGCACCTCAGGAGGGGTCCCCCGAACGCCCTCTTGTACAGCTTTCCGTCAAGGACTTGGAACCGGGGTGCCCGGAGCTTCACTTTTCTTGCCCGGTCATCTTGTTCCGGCAAGGTCCCGTCCATTAGGTATTCCATCAGATCATACATCCAATGGTCATCCGCCCCGACCAAGTTTGACCGGTCAGGTTGGCTTGTTTCTGCTATGGCGGCTACTTCCAATTTTTCAATGCTTGCATGATCAAGAATTTCTACCCGGGCAAGTTTTGAAACATGCTCGGGAGCATACTGCGTCAATTTGGAGAGAAGGTCTACATCTGCATTTTCCGCCCGGGGGATTTGGGCGATCTTGAATTCCTCAAAACCTTTCAACAAGGCAAGCACCAGGTCCTTGTATTGCGCCATTCGCCCTTCTCTGGCTTCCATGTTACCGGTCACTTGCCCAACGATCAAACTGGAAACAGATTTGATACTGACCCGGTCGATCTTCAGGGCTTGGGCAAGTCTGAGCCCTCCAGCCAGAGCTTCGTATTCTGCCTCGTTGTTCGTCAGCTTGAAGTTGAAGATGATTGCATGGTAAATTTTGAATCCTTCCGGGGTGGTAAAGACTACACCACCCCCGTAACCTTTAGGACCGGACGCCCCGTCTACTGCCATCTCCCACCATTGTTCGGCGGGTTTGTTGACCGGTAGGTCTGGAGTTAGACCGGTCATTTCGACCAAGAAATCTGCAAGGGCCTGTCCTTTGATTGCTGACCTTGGCCGGTACTCAATGTTGAATTGAGTTAACATCATGGCCCACTTTACCATCCTCCCGAAGGATGTTGAATTTCGCAACACTGCACCCAGCGGTTGGTCAGTCAAGACTTCTACCGGGTGAGCTTGGAAGTAGGATGTTAACTTTTTTGCAGAGATGAAAAGCGCGTAGGCTGTTTTCTCCATTGCTGTGTATCTACTTTCAGCTCCGTTTAGTGCTTTGCTCACATAATAAATAGGCTTTTGTGCCCCATCATCTCTTATTAAAACAGAGCTTACAGCATTTGGGGAAATTCCCAGGTACAGATACAGAGTTTCACCCGGCTGGGGTTTAGACAATACAATATCTGACACTAGGTACTCTTTCAGCTCGTCGAATGCCCTATGGAACTCTTCGTCCCATGCAAAAGTGTTGGCCTTCTTCAGGACTTTGAAGAAAGGCAGGGACCTCTCAGCTGACCGGGAAAGGAACCGGCTGAGTGCCGCTAGACGACCGGTCAACTTTTGGACATCCCTCACAGATGTGGGGGCCTGCATTTCAGTGATAGCCCGGATTTTTTCTGGGTTGGGCTCTATTCCTCTCTTGGTCACCATGAACCCCAAGAACTTCCCGGTACGAACCGCGAAGACGCATTTCTTGGGATTCAACCGAAGGTTGTATCTTGCCATGATATCGAATGTGGCGCGCATATCAGCCGGGTGATTGAGAGATACCTGGCTTTTGATTAGCATGTCGTCGACGTACGCCTCCATGGTCTTTCCCAGTAGTGGCTTGAAGAGCTTGTTCACCATGCGCTGGTAAGTTGCCCCCGAATTCTTCAAGCCAAACGCCATCACCCGGTAATAGTAAGTTCCTTCGGGGGTGAGGAATGGCGTTTTTTCTTCATCTTCCTTGGCCATGTAGATTTGGTGGTAGCCCTTGAAGGCGTCCATGAAACTTAAGAGTTCGCACCCCGCAGTTTCGTCCACCATTTGATCAGGACTGAGGAGGTGGTATGAATCCATCGGACAAGCCTTGTTTAAGTCCGTGTAATCCACACACATTCTCCACGTGTCGCCCTTGGGAGCAAGGACGACGTTGGCCAGCCAATCCGGGTATTTGACCTCCCGGATGTGGCCGACACTGAGGTGGTCCTTCACCTCCTTCTTGACGAAGTCTCGCCGGTCACTGGCCAGGTACCTTTTCTTCTGGCGTACCGGTCGACTTCCATCTCTCACTGCCAGCCGGTGGCAGATGATTGAGCGGTCTATCCCGGGCATATCCGCCACGCTCCAGGCGAATATGCCCGCGTATTCTTGGAGGACCCGCGTGATCTCCGCCTTGAGATCTTCAGGGAGGTTCGCCCCAATTCGGACCATCCTTGATGAATCACCCGGGTGGAGTTCGATCTCCACCGTTTCCGCTTCAGGCTCCAGCTTCTCCCGGGTTTCGCCCTTCGCGATCTCCTGGGAGATGACGTTGACCCCCTTAGTCATCTTTTTAACCGCCCGGGCATAGCACTCCTGGGCATTCCTCTGGTCGCACCTCACTTCTCCCACACCGCCTGGAGTGTGGAACCTCATGCATAGGTGAGGCATGGAAATCACCGCCCCAACCTTGTTGATGCCAGGCCTTCCAAGGATGGCGTTGTGGACGCATTTGATGTCCACAACGATGAACCGCATCTTCTTCCACACGATCTTTTCGCCCGATCCTAGTTCGACCGGTAGAACTATGGACCCCTCAGCTTCCACTGTGTCTCCCGTGAAACCTGAGAGAGGAGTTTTGAGGGGTTCAAGTTGTGTCCGACACAACCTGAGTTTTTAGAAAGTCTCCAGGTATAGGATGTTGACACTACTGCCGGTGTCAACAAGTACCCGGGCGACGTCCACCCCGTTGATGTCCATGGTGATGACCAATGGATCATTGTGATCCTCACCGGTAGGAGGGAGGTCCCGGTCAGTGAAGACTATTGGCTCCCTCCTGGGATACTTACGCCTGGCCGGTTCGGCACTCACCTCACCAACGTAAATGCTGCAAACCCAATTTTTTCGCTGCGCGGCTGAATCTCCTCCTTCGGGTCCGCCAAAGATCATCCCAATATGTTCTTTGTCAGGGGCAGGTTGTTGCTCCCTTTTCCGGTTGTTCTTCCGCCGGTCATTGTCCCGGTCATTTCCCTGGGTCGCTGGCCTTACCCATTGATGGTTCTTCTCCTGGGCTTTCTGCAGATAATCCTTGCCCAGTTCTCCGCTGTCTATCATCTGCCGAATTACCCCCTTAACACTTTTGCATTCGGAAGTGCTATGGGAATCTGACCTGTGGTACGAACAATAGGTGCCCGACCAGTGACGCCAGTTTGACCGGTAGGAATTTCCGGAGGAATGACCGGTGCTTTTCTTACTTCTTGGCACTCTTCTGTGTTGACCACACGGACGACCGGGTCATAGTGATGCCTTGGCCGGCTGGTTACCGGTGCTTCTTCCTTTTTGACTTGCACTGGCTTGGGCTTATAACCATGCTCAGCTTCTTTCTTTGCCCGGAGTTGAGTTTCAGCCTCAGCAAACTCCCATGCAGTGTGGTAGGCCTCCTGATACGTGGCCGGGGGTTTTCGGCAGAACTCCTTGTAAAGTTCCCCAGCACGCAAGCCGTTCAGGAGGAGGGACAACACCGTCTTGTCTACCTCCTCCTTCCACCGGGTAAGGAACTGAGTGAGGTTCTCAGATTCCCTCTGCCCGGCTGTACTAAGATAGGTGAATTTCTTCCTCTTAGTACAGTTTTCCTGGAATTTGGCCTTAAATTTTGAGGCCAAGTCACTGAATGAATCAATACTTCCTGGGCGAAGTTTGTTGAACCATTCAGTAGCTCGATTCCGCAGGGTTTGGAAGAAAAGGAGGCACTTTTCTTCATCCGTACAACCATTCATAGTTGCACTTTGGTTGAAAGAATCTAGATGTATTTCTGGATCCTCCTTACCGGTAAACCTTGGGGCGTCTATCTTGACCTTTCGTGGGAAAGGTGTCAGATGGACCCTTGTAGTGAACGGGGACCCTGCGAGGGGTTTGTCCCGGTCATTCTTCTCTCCAACCTTCTTCTCCAGCCTCTCCAGCTTTGCCTCCATCTGTTGGACGCGATCATTGGGGGTGGTTAACCGGTTAGCCACCGGTACCCTGGGTTGGCTTTCTGCCTCTTCCTCCTGGCGAGAGGCCCTCGTCCTGGCTGGCTCCTGCCGGTTTGACCGGGAGCGTTGGGTGCGGGCAGGCTCGACCTCCCTCATCTCGCCTAACCGGGCAAACGCGCTGACATGGGCAACGCTTTGCCCCAGCCTTAGCTTGGCTGATTTTCTCTGGCCCTCCTCCCTATCCCCCAGCCTTTCGAAGGCGGAGTTTCGGGAGGTGGCGGGTCGGATGGTTTTTCCCTTCTTGTTCTTGTGGGTCCTTAGAATGTCCCACTCGTCGTCTCCGCTCTCCACTGAGACGCAGTGACCATCGGGGGTGATTAGCGGATTCGTACCTTGCGGGGGACGCGACGGCCCTGCGGCGTTGAGCGCACCAGTCAAGTTGACAGGTGCCATGGTGCTGACCAGCTGCAGCTGGAAAGGTGATGGTTGCGGCACCGGCGTCTGGAATGGCGTCACTGCCATCGGAGCTTGAAGGGGCATCGTTCCAGCGCCTGGAAGGGCGAATGGAAACATGCCTGGGAGGAAAGGCATCCCCCCATTCTGTTGGCACATGGCCATGACCTGGCCAAAGCCCTGAATTGCCTGCAGGTTGGCGGGGTCATTCATGAACTGAGTCATGCTTTGTGGGAAAGTGACCCTCGGCCCAGCGGAAGGGACGGGAGCCGTGAATGGGCTGACCATGCTGGGTGTTGGAACCGAGCTTAGTCCCAATGGCAAAACCGGAGCAGAAACGGTTGGCAAGGTAACAGCCATGGGGATGCTGGTACCTTCAGTGGTGGCTTGCACCTGAGCAGGGGTGGCGTTGATTTGCTGGCTTGAAGACATTTTGAGTGGTGTTTTTGTGGGTAGGTTTGTATTTGGAAGAGAAGAAACCTTAACGGTCCCACGGGTGGCGCCAAAAATGATGGTGTAAATTACTTGACCGGTCAAACTATACTAGACCGGGTCTAGAATAGTTGGCTTGATTCAGTAAAGTAAAGAAAGTAAAAACACTCAGAATGACCGGTAGGACTTTAGATGGAACACTTGTAGCCCGAATTATATTAAAACAGAGAGTGCACGGTCACTTTTACAAGGGAGTTTAGAGAGAGTGAATTCGGATCCTCTTCTTCGAGGGTTACAAGAGGTATATATACTAAGTTGGGGGGGACAGGACCACGTGCGCCCACGTGGGGGCACGCTGCCACTGGGGTGTGAGGCGACTGGTTCTGAGCAGCCTTGTTATCTTGCGTGGGGGGCTGCGCCTTTGTCGCGTTCTGGTTTGGAAATATTCCTCCAGCATCTATGCAATTCCAACCACTACAGTCCAAGTCCTTTTGGATTCCTCCTGCCGACACTCCCCAATCTCTAAAAATTGCACCGGTTGGTTCTTGTAAGTTGGCTTGGCCAACTTCAAAGGATGGATTTAGACCATAGGCGAGTTTGACCGGTATACTATCCGAAGTACACCGGTCAAAGTTTTGGGTCAACCCTCTAACGACTCATCACTTCCTTTCGAGCTCGACTTCTTTGACTGGTCAATTTTCTGGTTCGGACCTTTGACCGGTCATGGGTGAAATACACCCATCATAAACGATAACACATTTTAAGTTGGTCTACATCGGGACATCTCCTTTCGTTTCGCTGCCCTCTTGGAATGCACTAACTAAATATCCATGGAATTGGCTCATCGGAACAAAGGCCTCGCGTGAACCTGGATAACTTCAATGCCATTCCACAGCCGATTGGAAGATCGAAGGCTAAATCAATTACTTCAGGTTCTAGGTCCAGTTCTGTTTACTCTCAGGATGATATCGGCCCCAAAGGGGTGAACAAATGTGATTGTTCAATCTTAGGGAAGAAGAGAGGGAGAAACGAAAGATAGAGAAGGAGGAGCTCGAAATACTTGACAAAGACATTGATATGTTAACGAGATTGAAAAGTATGCACTACGAGAAAAAACAAAAAGAACTCAATGCTAAATATTGGATGTGGTATTATTTAATGTAATTCTTTTGTGTTTTTTAAATTTAATGTATTTTTTATTTAATGAATTATTACGATTTAAATTTAATCAATTAATGAAAGCATATTAATTTACTTTTATAAATGTATGTTAAAAAAAAGAAAAGTTTGAAATAAAAAAGTTTACATATTTAAAAACTACATGAAAAATTTTCGAAATAAAAAGTTTCATGAATAAATTTTTTTATCAAATAATCAATGAAAAGATATAAATAAACAAAAATTCTCGTTACTTTTAAAAAAGTAATGTCACAAGTTTTGAGAATAAGGGAGTAAATTAAAGAAAGATTAAAATTGATGTGGTAGAAAAAAATTTTGAAGTGATGATAGGGTGTCACCACATGGGTACTACCATGCTAGGGTACACTCATGCTTCGCACAGATTAATACAGATGATAATTGTCTGTGTTGCACAGACAATTATCGTCTGTGTTTGTCTGTGATGCACCAACGTGGTAGTACCCTAGTATGATCCATTTACAATGTGCTTAGAATCTTAGATCTAGATCTCAAGTCTAAAAAAGTACACACAAGGTCACAAGAAAGCAGAGTGCTGATGTGCTAGGTGGTGCCTCACGTCAGGGGTATAGTAAGGTCTTTTACCTTTTCACCTTTGTCTGTATCTATCTCTCTCTCTCTATCCCTGCCCTGACACTCTCTGTTTTGTGTTCACACCCCATTTTCCACTCATTTCATTTCCAACATCTCCTTCCACATACAAACAAATTCAAAAACCCCATCTTCCATCTCCGGCCTTCTTCCTCATCTTCCCCACCACTCCTCAGATTCAGTCACAATGGAATCTTCATCTCCATTGTCAATGCACCAGCCCCTCTACCGCCGGCAAGACGACTCTGCCTCCGCCGCGGCGGCCAAACCCTCCTCGACTCCCAACAGGAAGAGCTTCGCCGCCGCCGCCCTCCGCGCCCCGTCCTTCAAGGAGGACACCTACTTCGCCTCCGAGCTCAGACACTCCGAGAAGAAGGCCCTCTCGGACCTCAAGGCCGGCCTCGCCTCCCTCGCCCCCGCCGCCTCCATGTGGGGCATCCCCCTCCTCTCCGGAGACGACCGCGCCGACGTCATCCTCCTCAAGTTCCTCCGCGCCCGGGACTTCAACGTCCCCGACGCCCTCCACATGCTGGCGAAATGCCTGGCGTGGAGGAAGGAGTTCGGCGCTGACGAGGTGGCAGAGGAAGAGCTGGCCGGGTTCGAGGAACTCGAAGGGGTTGTGGCCTACATGAACGGCTTCGACCGGTTCGGCCACCCGGTCTGCTACAACGCATACGGCGTGTTCAAAGACAAAGAAATGTACCGCAGATTCTTCGGCGGAGACGGGGAAGAAGACGGCGAGGAGAAGCTCAAGAGATTCCTGAGATGGAGGGTTCAAGTTCTTGAGAGAGGGATAAAGCTTCTCCATTTCAAACCGGGCGGGGTCAATTCTCTGGTCCAAGTCACGGATCTTAAGGACATGCCCAAGAGAGAGCTTAGGGTCGCCTCTAATCACATCCTCTCCCTTTTCCAGGACAACTACCCTGAACTGGTCGCCCGCAAGGTCATCAATTAATCAATCAAACTCCCTTTTTCTTTGGGTTTTCTTGGATTTAATTTCTGGGTTTTAATTGAATTTGAATGGAATTGATGATTTATGGGGGTTTTTTTTGCAGGTGTTCATCAATGTCCCATGGTACTTCAGCATGGTGTACTCAATGTTCAGTCCATTCATGACGCAGAGGACGAAGAGCAAGTTTGTCATCTCCAAGGAAGGAAATGCTGCTGAGACCCTATACAAGTACTAATTTGAATCTTTTTTTTTTTTTGTTTCAAGAAATTTAAAAAAAAACATATCTTGAATTTGCTTCCTAGTTTTGTCTTTAATGGTTCTGGCTGGTTTGAAAATGACCCAAAGATTTTCTGAAGGATTTTTCCCGATGATGATGGGTAATATATTTAATGCTTGGGGGGTTTCTATGGTTTCTGTTTTTGGGGTGTTATGATGTTGCCATGTTTGGGTTTTACGGATCTTTTGCTTGTTATAGTCATTAATTATTCTAATGCTTTGGTGTGAAGTAAGAAAAGATGACATGTTTGGTGTCCTTTTTTGTTTGGAATTCAGATTTTTTCAAATCACTACCCCCATCCTTTTTTCTTGATTTTTATTGTGCCATTTTGACTGTAAAGACCCAAAAAAATGAATAATTCCAAAGGTTAATGTTATCAACATTATTTTAAAATAAACAACACTTTATTAGGTAATTAAACATTTTTTACTGCGATTAAAACAACTAAATTAGGCGATTATTTTTGGAAGCTAATCTGTTGTCTGGGGTGGAAATAGGTTCATCAGGCCGGAGTATGTACCGGTTCAGTATGGAGGTCTAAGCCGGCCGAGCGATTTGCAAGATGGTCCCCCTAAACCGGCCTCTGAATTTACCGTCAAGGGAGGGGAAAAAGTCAACATTCAGATTGAAGGCATTGAGGTTTGTTCACACATGTCCCGTGATTGATTTATTTATTACTCTAACAATTTGTGGTCACTTTTACCATGTGAACCATTCTTTGTACCATTCCTTTTTTTCCAAAAAAATAATAATACATTTTCTCGCCCAAAGCAAGGTTTTAGTTTTTGGAATGAAAAAAGTACATAGTCTCATTAATTATCAATTCAATTATTTTGAAAGAATCACTCTAAATAAGAATAAAATATTAAAAAATTATCAAAATAAGAGCTTCATATTTTTATTTCAAAATAAGAGTTTACATTGTGATATTGTGGCACTGTATATGTCTATATTTCACAATAATTTTTGGTATTATATATCGGCGTCATTGGTATTGTATATATATATATATATATATTTTAACTCTTATTTTGAGAATACATATAAACTTTTTATTTTGATATATTTTCTCTGTTTTACTTCTATTTAGTTTTTTCCCCCTTATTTTGGCACTTGTATATATGGCACTCAATTTCGAGCAATCCTCATGGAATGGTTTCTATCTCTAATCCCCTCTTCCCTTGATGAAACTCCACACCCCACCCGACCCCAATCGAACCCCCTAAATTAGTTGACATTTTGGTGAACAATTTTGACCAAAATGTAAACCAATTTGGCATTTTGATTGGGCGTTGGGGTGAAAATGGGTGGACTGGAGTGGAGTATTTGCAGGACCTTAGGGTATACTCCTTCCGTCCGAAAATGTTCTACTGCGCTTTGACCATTAATATTTATATTTATACATAGATATATTTTATAAAAATTTGATATTTTAAAAAGTACGTTTCTTTATGAATATATTGATATTTAATTTACATCATATACAATGTGTTTTTTCTACAAATCATACTCAAAATTTACAAACTTTGACCAAGAAAAGTCAATAGTGTCAAATTAATCATTTGTATCAAAATAAACCTTGCCCAAATAAATTATTGATCCAGGGTGGCTCGACAATAACGTGGGACATAGTGGTGGGAGGATGGGAAGTAGAGTACACCGCAGAGTTCGTACCGAACGCCGAGAGCAGCTACAGCATCGCCGTGGAAAAGCCTCGGACGGTTGCCGCCGGGGAAGTGGCAGTTCGCAACTCCTTCAAGTCGCCGGAGGCCGGCAAGTTGGTGCTTTCCGTCGACAACACCGCCTCGAGGAAGAGGAAAGTCGCCGCTTACCGATACCTTGTCCGTAAATCGTCTGCCGTCGTCTGATGCCAGCTGCATCCATACTGTATGGTTTTTATGAAATGATTACCACCCCCATATAAATAATATTTTGGGTTAATTAGTGTATTTATCGAAGTTCATGACCAAGCCAATCTCGATCTTGGGTTCTTTTTTTATCAGTTCTTTGATGGTTTTACCTCTTTATGGGTACAAACTTTAGTCATATGTGTACTACGGAGTAATAAATATTATTTGTACAAAATGTGTGTTGGT